TAAATAAGTGTAAATAGTGTCATAAACATGTTCTGTTTTCCGTATCCTCCAGCGACATTCCTTCCGACCCCCAACAATGCCTAAACGATAGTTCTTAATGCCTATTCATGCCTAAAGGCTGTTTTCAGGGCCTTTTATAGGCACCTAAACATTCTTTTTTCATGCCTAAAGTTCCGGTCTCTAATTATGAACTCTCAATGATAAAAAAAATATGGCACCAGCCCTACATCAGCAATGAGCTAGCCGCAGGCTGCAATGTTTTCAACTGAAGTTTGGACCTCTATCTGACCACGCAGAGCCATGTCAACAAAGACTACAGGCATGATGACAGCTGCAGTGTCCCTGTGGCGATCATCATGGCGCCACCCAGAGAGCATCTAAAGTTTCATGAATCGCCAAGCGAAGACCGTGAAACCTGGATTGAGATGTTGAAGAGAGTCTGAACATTCAGTAACTGGAACACTGACAACAAGCTATGCCACGTGTACTTTTACTGGATGACGCAGCAAGGATCTAGTTTGGGAATCAGGAGACCACTCTTCGAACCTGGTTCATCTTTCACGAGTAACACTAACGAGTATCATCCAATAGGAAAGGGATGTGACCTTGTTGGGAACATGGGAATGAAAGCGTAACCACCTTCGCGGAGGAAATGACCCGACTCTTTCACCATGCTAACCCCGCCATGTCTGAGAAAAAGAAGGTTTGCGTCTTGATGCAGGTGGTTAAGGCAAGACCTGTTTGCCGGCCTTGTAAACAACTCACCGAAAACTTTCGTGGATCTCATCCTGAAGCCCATGACAATCGAAAAGGTGCTTGAAATGTGTACCAGCCAGTAGAACCCTCGACATACTACGGTGAGATTCTAGCACTACATTCAAACTACCTGTGCGAGACCATCAGAGCAATCGTTTGGGAAGAGCAGGAAGACAACAGTTGCCCTCCTGTCTTTGCTTCATAAATATATTCACGCGTCCAGGCTACCACCCTTCCCACTAACGGCACCATTGCGCATGTCTAAACGACTTCACAATCAGCGAAGCATCACACGCATCTTTGGAAAAACAAAATCATTCAATTCATCGGCTTTGCCTCGTGCCACAGCACTCTGGAATGACCTACCCGACGTCATTGTCAATTTAACTAATCATGAAAATTTTCGTCAGCAATTAACGATACATCTATCTCAATAGCATTGTATAACCTCCTTGAATTCTGTTTTTGTTCTTTGTGCTTTTTTGCGGCTGGGAAATTCTTGTTGTTGCTTGAAGCCCCTCTTTGTCATTTTTGCAACCACTGTTATTAGTTCCAATGTTATTACTTGCTTTGCATTTTCATTAGTTATTAGTTATTAGTTGCTCTGTAGTTGCTTTGTATTGCGACAGAAGTATCAACCACTAGCATTCTTTCTTATGTACCCCCCTTACTCTATGCTCCGTAATAGAGCCTGTAAGGTATTTTTAAATAAAAATAAAATGAATATAGCTGCACAAATTGTTGCCATCCTCACAACCTCAGCTAGACCCAATTGCTAATGTCAAACGCCATGAAGTCCAGCAAGTTCTGGCAGCACCTGAAGCAGTGCAGCCTGAGCCACACGCGACGAGCTATGCTGCTACAGATCATCTAAAATGCCCCCCCTTGTGGAGGTGCCATGCCCACAAGAAGGCATCGCACCACCGCAGTTTTGCCGCCAGATACTGTCACCACACTGCCCACCTGTAAGCTAGCGCTATGCCCCGAAGAAGACCAATGTTGGGTGTGCCTCCAGCCATTGCCAACGCTGCTCCTACTGCGGAAAAGCTGGTCAAACCTACTACTGCTGCCAGTACCGACAGATGGGATTGCGTGGTTTCGGCAATGGCACATCGCATTCACAGTGGGGTGAAAGACCTCACAGCATCACCACCTTGCAGGAGCACAGTGGTTGCTGAGGATCTTCCAGATTGTGTCTTCCAGGGTGCTGAGGATCTTCCAGATTCCAAATACACCCGCCCTGCTGAGGACCGCTCTCCAAGCTCTTATTCAGAATACCAAGGACAGCCATCGATGGAGGTATGGATGCTCTCGACAAAATACCAAAGATCCTCTGCTGCGGCCACATCCACGAAAGTTCAAGAACATGCCACAAGCTAAACGAAGCATGGGCAACGCAACTTCACAATTGGAGGAAGACCAGATGACACCAACGAAGTAGTGGAACAAGCCAACATGGCCGTGATCCTACACCTGATTCCCCAGCTATTAGGAGTGCGGACCCCATGCTCGTTGTGCGCCGGCAACCGCCATAAATCGGCAACAACGTCACCCCCAGCCCTTTTATCAGGTGCAAACTAAGAGTTCATTTTCCCTGCATCGAAACACGTGTCTGAACAGGCCCAGACAATACCTTCCCTTCTCTTCACATTAGCGCACATCACTGTGTTTCGCTGATCCTCATTGGCCTGTGGCAGAGTTTGATTATGCGTTAGCATAGGTAGCTATAGCGAGCCATGCAGGTTACTAATGATGGAGCTTTATTTACACATTAGTGCTTGAAGAAATGATGGTTCGCCGGGGAAGGTGTTCTAAGCGATGGCTCACAAATGAATTGTTTCCGCCTGATGCTCACTGGCTCAGAGAGATGCTTCCGCACCTGCAACAAGGAAGTGATGCTCTGCCTTCGAGGGCAAACTTCACGTTTGAATGCTTAGGCGGTACCCATTTTGTGTGGCAACCGCGATACCGCAGGCTAGTCTACTATATTAGTCTTGCGGAATTACCCTAATGACCCGCTATTCCGCGATTATCGCATGGTGCTGCATCTTGAGTTAATAAACCCATGTTTGTTGACAAACTGTCTCGAGTGCCATTTCTGCACCGTGTCGGAAAGTCGATGAACCCGGCCATTGCGTCTTTGTGCACGACTGCAGAGGAGAACGTTAGGTCCCTTCCCAGATGCTCCTTTGGGTAAGCCTTTTGCAAACTCATCTTCACATATTATCACAACTTTCTCATCAAAAGCGATGATTTTCGAAGCTAGACAACCTGCAATATAGTAAATATTGGAGGTCACAGGCAGTACAGTGGTGCTTATACAGTTGAACACGGTTATATCGAACCCTTGTATATCGAATTTTCAGGTACATTAAACTCCAAGTTATCCCTTAAAATTCCTTTGTAAAAGTATAGAAATTCGCACGTTTATATTGAACGGTAGTTTTATCCGCCTTCGGATAAATTGAACACTGCGTGAGCTGGAAGGCGTGCTCTGGCACACGCACACCCGGCGACCTTCGTGCAGCACCACGCCTCCATCAAAACCCGAAACGCTAAAAAAAAGGTAAGGACGAGAGGGCTGAGACTGCACAATTTCTAACTTGCGGAAGGGCTTCGTCTTTTTGTTTCTCTTTCATGCTTTATCCGCGTAACTCTCAGCTCGAAGAGCAGGAACGAAGGAGCCAGCATCCTCCTCTTTTTCCCTTTTATTTTTTGTTACTGTTTCGCGAGGTTTGATCAGCCAATCACAGTTCGCGCCTTTATCTGTTGCCCTCGCAGGTGCTCATCGTCTCGCGAGCGCTTTGCCAGGCTTTGCTTTTGTCGTGTCGCCTACGTACCATCGCATGTGCAGCAGTTCTCTTTTGCGTGTGTGGTGTGCAAAGCCACTATGGACTGCTTGAATTGTTGACTTCTCGTGTAGCTATGACCAGCGTCAAGAAGCGCAAGACCCTTGACTTTGCGACGAAGTTGAAAGCTATTTAGTGTGTTGAGACAGGTGAGAAATGTTCGACCATCGCGGACGACTTCAGGATATCAAAGAGCACTCCGAGTACCTTGTTGAAAAAACAGAGCAGATATCAAGGCAATGACTGCAGAGCAGCGAACGTCGGGAGCCTATCATGTGCACGCTTCTGCCCACGAGAATGTGGAAAACGCACTCTATGCCTGGTTTTTAGAAGAACATTCCAGTGGACGGCCCGATGCTGATCACCAAGGCCAAATGGTTTGTCGCTGTACTCAGTGAAACAACTTCACCGACATCACCGGGTGGCTTCACTGATTTAAGCAGTGCTACTACTTCATTAGCAAAACCAATTCTCGTGAAAGTGAAGCTGTCAGCAGCCAGGACATACAGCTGTGGATGACGAAGGAGTGGCTGGAAGTCTCCGCGAAGTTTTCTCCCGCCGAGATCTTCAACGCCTGGCTAGACGTGAAGTCAGATACAGTGGTCAGTTGTTTCCACAAGGCAGGCTTCGAGACGACGTGGCTGTCTTCACTTGTTCCGCAAACGGAACAAGTGAAGACAGCCACGACGAGCGCATAGAAGACGTGTTTAGCGAGTTGTCGTCCCGCTTCCCGGCATCAGTTGCAGATGAAGTGTCTGCGGACAACATCGTGGTAGTGGACTATAATGGCTAGGCCACTGCGAGCCTCGCTGACGAGAACATAGTAGCTGCAGTCACAGGTACCCAAGATGCCCCGGCCGACAGCTCAAGTGATGAGGAGGATTCTCCGGACAAGGCGCTGGCTACACACGTATACTCCGCCACTGAAGTAGCGGCAGCGTTCGGCGTCATTTGCCGTTGTATCAGTGACATCATAACTAAGAGAAGAGGGATCTTGTATTGGGTTGTGAGCTACAAGTACCCCATTCGCAAAGAAGTCCTTTCGATCGGCATCAGTAAATGGACAAGCTTGGGTGCTGCAGCCACAGCATTTACAATGGTCACTCAGAACTAGAACTTGATTTCTTATGGGCCCTCCGCACCCTCAATGTATTCTCTTGGTGATGATCCGAGACAAAATTATCAATGAACTCAGTATAAGCTTATCTCTAGGCACTAAAGCAAGAAAGAGAGGAGGCAGGCTTCTAGAAAACTTGGAAAAATCTCGCATTTCAGCATGTACGTGCTAAACCTTTAAAGCGGCACACCAATAGTGTGGCTAGGTGCTATTTCATAATTTTCAGCTTTTGCATCCAGTTGTTTGCCCAATGCAAAGCAACTAAAATACAACAGAAAGAAGGAATTGCAACAGATGTTTAAATCTCTTGGATGATTAGCACACACAGAAACACACACTAAAGGATGAAAAAGGATGTTGCACACAGAACAAACCAAACACTGCATTATTCTTTAAGCACACCACAACAAGGAATCATTAAGGAGGGAAAGTGGTAGCTTGCCTTCAAAACAGGCATAGCCAAGGCCTCGCCACGAAAGCTCTTGAGATACTTGACGCTATACACAACGGGGCGCCGCAGCACATCAGCCAGAGTGAACACAAGCATATGCTCCAGGGCTGATCCAGGTTGTGCAGTCAGGGAAACATGAGTTGCCCAGTCTTTCTGCCACTGTGCCTAGTCCAGCGAAAAATGCTTCAACCGAGCCTGCAGGGACTCCGCTTCTCGCCACCGCCACCTGAGAATTTGCGACAGACAATCAGTGTAGGCAAAGCAAAAGAGCACCGACTCAAACCGCAGGCTGCTTAGGTAGCCTAGGTGGCATCATCACAATGCAGCACATGGTGCTCAGCTGTGATAATTGGATAAAAATATAATGCAATATATGTCTGCAAACTGAATAGGAGACTAAATATGTTTTCCAGCTAATGTGATTAAACCTTGAACCACAAAACAAACAACACCACATGAAGTGTGCAGCAAGATTAGCTCTACCTTGACAATAGCAGATGACAATGTTTTGTTTCTTATAAAAATTATATTTAATTTTACATTGCCACAAGTTACAAGTAAGGTCTCTTATAGGAGAAAAAGGAATAAGCTTATCCAAAATCCTCACTGTTTTATGCAAAATATTTTTTGGCTTTTTCTTTATAACTACAGTGGAACATTGATTATGCACCCTCCGTTTTCGCGACAACCCGCATTTTACGATCAATCGGTTTGTTCCCAGGAAAATCCCCATAGAATTAATTAAAAACCTTTGTTATACAACTCAAGTTTTAAGCCGACCCCGGATCTTACAATGACTACCAGATTCTATTTTAAAGAAGAAACCACATTTACTCGAATAAAATCTTCACGACTGCAAAATATGAACTTGTGCTCCCCTAAGTCAACGATTAGAAAAGTAGAGAGACAGGATGTATTCTTAGAACAGAAAATTTATTCTGGAAGTTCATGCGCTTTTACATATGCCTCGATCACATGCGTACGTATTCGGGGTCACAACCTAGGCAAGCTCTATCCACACATAGCAGATTCAGCCGGCTGAAGAGTTCATATTTTCACGTTTTCCGCCTGTGGAAACTTTTCCTGATCAACATACAGCTGATCTCCTGCCTCGGTCATACTCGCAGTCACAGGATTCCGCGATGCAGCTGTTTTCACTTTGATGTCTACGTTCATAATAACAGTGGGACATCGCTATTTGCACTTCACAAGCCAACAAATTACAAAGGGCACAGCTCAGTTACACATGAACGTCTTCTTACAGAACACCGTGGTATTCTACGCAAACTCGTGGTCCGTCACCATTATGTGATAGCGATGACAGTTGTCCGACTCTTCTGACGTGAGGCCATCGACAACGAGGTTTTGTTTTTATTTTCACGCGTAGGCAATTTCCGGACTTTGCTTATGAGTAGAAAGATGGGCATTGGATTTGATTTTTTTTTCAGCTTTAACATAAAGATTCGCTCACACATCCTCCAACTAAGCAATGCTGCCATTACCTGCCACTGGCAAGAATTATCTACCTACTTTGCAGAGGCACAAACTCGTGCCATGGGCTTAATCAAGTAGACTGTACTTGTTTTTTTGTTTTTGTTTTGGGGGGGGGGAGCAATGCTGAGCGTCACTGACTATAATCTTAGTTTTTCAATTATACTACGCCTGGATTATATGACGGTTTTGCACGGTCCCCTGAAAGTCGTATAATTAAGGTTCTACTGTACTGGCTGTTTTGTTTTTTCATTTGTCACAACACCTGCAGGAAGTAGGCTAGCAACCCGAAGAATCATGCATGGCTAACATTAACCGTGACAGACAATTAGTGTCAATGGTGAAGGGACACCAAAGGCCCCGGCAATCTGCGGTTTAACGACAGAGTTTACCCCTGTGTCCCTCACCTTATTTCATTCTTACATTTCAAACTACAGTAGAACCCCGTTGATACGATCACGGCCTTAACAAATTTTGGAGTGATACACGGTCCGGCCAAAGTCCATAAGCCTGCAATGTAATGAAGACTGTTTTTGCAAATTGATTTACACCCCGCAACGTTTCACACAAATGTACGCTACCATGCAGATATGCTCCGGTGCTGCTCGTGCTGTCGTGAAAGACACAGCAGTCACACGTGGATGAGAGAGCCTAAGCGCGGCTACAACGGACTAGAAGTATAGTAAACTAGATATCTAGTTCACTGTACTTCTAGTATATACACTTTAGTGCGACACAGAGGCACGCGTTGTAGCTAGAGGTGTGTGCTGGAGGGTCGGCACACCGCCACCGACAGTTTTCGCTACGCCGCCGCCGCCGACGTGCCATTTAAATGGTAATTTTTTTTCAGCTAACCTACGTTTATTTTGCACCTTCTGTCACCAGTCTGGCCTTAATTCTGTCTACTTCGCAAACGCATCGAAATTTGTTCACCTGCCATTTCAATAAGTGGACAACAAAAAAAAACAACTTGTCGAGGGCTAATCATGTTGGATTAGATTTAAATGTGAACTTTAAGATACTTTTGAGTTCACTGCATTTCAGTGAATCCCGGTCAGTGATAGCGCCAACGGTGGTGTTTGGCGATGACTGTCAACATACTCAAGCTGAGGAGAATATGTAATATGTGAGGCGGGCTGTGAATAATGATAAAAGGTGTGGAAAGTCAGTACTGGAATATTCATAATTATGACTGTGCAAGCGAGTCAAAGAACAAAGAAGTTGAAATGCGAAGGGTGGGGGACGAGTACTGGGGACGAGCAGGGTAGAAGCGCGATGTGTATAGAAGATATTGTTATAACTGAGGAACGGCTAGCTGTTTAGGGCATATTTACAACAAGAAAAATCAGTTCAGAAACTGGGCCACATGCAAGGCTTTTAATGAACAAAGAAAGGTAAAATGACTGTTATACGAAATGCTCTATCAAGCAAAAACGATCAACATTAAAATGCTAACATGACTAAGAAGCTAATGTACACTTCCAATGCCTACTTCCAAGCTAATGCCTACTTCCAAGGTGCATAGTTATTTGTAAGTTTGTTTGCAGTGTCATGGAGCTAATGCCGTTTGCGTCGACGTGATTTCACAATTTGAAGTTAGAATTTCCAACAAGACGTTCGGAGTTACGAAATGCTCTATCAAGCAAAAACGATCCCCTTTGTATGGGCAGGTTGAGCAAGATCAACAATATTGGACGAAATGGTGATCACCATAAATTAAGTTTGTGTGAACTGTAAAGTAACGCACAGAAGATGAATGCGGACAAAACACTGAAGCGTGGGCTTGTATTTTCAACGTGCTTTGTCCTGCACACCGTGCGATGCTCCACGTCGCGCTATCAAATCAAGTATTCTATCTTTCCTTCACAAGTTTTTATCTCAAACTTGATTCAATTAACTATAGATGCCGATTTGTCACAACCATGCTTCAAAAAGGAAACCACATAGGTAGCTTGCTCGGCGAGTTGGTTTATAATATTTTTTGAAGAACAAATTAACGAGCTCAACCTGAGAGGACATCGAGCGAAATGCTTATGACGGAAAGTCCACAAACTTATGTACCAGAAGCGCATTAATGAAAAATAGGCTGAGGCGTTCCACAGCTGCACACCTAACACTACAATGACAAGAAGTGCGTCAAAATGGTACAAACAGCACACTTCCATAATCACCGCCCTCTGCACCCGCTATCTAGCAACGCGAATTCCTTATATATTTGTGAGGACAACTGAAGGATCACTTATACATGCGTTGCACTTTGCACTTTTTTTTAAGGCTTCGAAATCTTCACGTTCAATCTATTTTTTCCTTTGCCGATGACACTGATATATTGGGGACGCAGGGACTAGCGAAGAAGTCGGTTTTGTGCCTGGAGGATGTTCACACTGCATATATCTATAGTTGTCACTAAGCCTTGAACCGTCTGATCTCTGTCGACACGGCCGCATGACAAAGAAATTTTTTTTCAAATCATTGAATGTCATTGGCAAAGCGAAAAAAAAAAATATTGAACGCGAAACTCGTGATGCCTTCTCAATAAAAACAGAGCGAAGTGTCATGTGTGAGTGATCCCCCAGCTATCTTCGCAGATAAACTTTGCGTTGATATTTTGGTGTTTCACGGATATCGGCTGCTACATACCACTTTGAAACTTTTGTTGGAAAAAATTTACGGTTAATTGTTCAACTGTGGTTTAGATAGCCTTTTTAAGCATGTGATTCTGGTTAATTTTTATAGGGGCTTTCTTTAATAACATTTAGGTTTAAGTGCAGCACTTGCCCTTCATGGTTCTTACGCTGCATTCATGTTTTTCGTTGGTCTCTTCTTACGTAGATCGGTAAAAATCATCCCTATTATCTTCATGTGGGCATAGCAACCACTCTTCCATCCTTCCCCATTCTCCCATATTTCAATAACATGGACGCACAGAAAAGGTCTTCATACACGCGTGACGTGAACGAGAGGTGTGTTCCGATTATAAGTCGGCAAACTCATTGATGAGTTTATCAGAGGAATTGAAAAACTCCAATTGAGGCGTGAGTCAGAGTCTGAGTGAGTCCGGCTGAGTTATACTTAAGCCACAGAATTGATTTTCAAAATTGTAAATCTATTTCCCCACACCCTTGGAACTCATTCCAGTGTAAGGCCTTGATAAAAAGCACTTACTCATATCTTCGAATAAAAATGATAACCTTAACTTAAAGGCACAGAATGAAATGGCGACATAAACTGCACCACTGAGATGAGATATCAACATTAAAATGCTAACATGACTAAGAAGCTAATGTACACTGCCTACTTCCAAGGTGCATAGTTATTTGTAAATTTGTTTGCAGTGTCATGGAGCTAATGCCGTTTGCGTCGACGTGACTTCACAATTTAAAGTTAGAATTTCCAACAAGACGTTCGGAGTTTCTCCTAAAAAAAAACCATAATTTTTGGTGATGTTATAGTGATTACATGCATTGCACTGGCTTCAACTTTAATGCTAATAGCTAATGCGTTTATAGAGTACGCCGCTTGCAGACTATGACAAAGTATAATGCATGCTACAAAACTAGTATGATCTCTTCTCAGAGCAGAACGCATATCGTATTGCGATAATAATGAAAGAAAAAACTGAATAATTATCCGTAACTCCATTATTGCATGTATAGCATAATTCACAATTGTTCGAAATATATGAAAATGGCTTTAAGAGGGCGTGAAAGTGGGTTGTACAGCATGTTCTGGCAC